GTGTCTAAGTCGCTAGGTGTAGGCAGGCTCAGATACCTGTGGATCCATGTTAAAAAATAAAAACAGGCCGGGCGCGGTGGCTCCCACTTGTCATCCTAGCACTCTGGGAGGCCGAGGTGGGAGGATCTTTTGAGCTCAGGAGTTCGAGACCAGCCTGAGCAAGAGCAAGACCCCATCTCTACTAAAAAAAAAAATAGAAAGAAATTAATTGGACAGCTAAAAACATATAGAAAAAATTAGATGGGCATGGTGGGGCATGTGCCTGTAGTCCCAGCTACTCGGGAGGCCGAGGCAGGAGGATGGCTTGAGCCCAGGAGTTTGAGGTTGTTGTGAGCTAGACTGATGCCACAGCACTCTAGCCCAGACGACAGAGTGAGACTCTGTGAGACTCTGTCTCAAAAAAAAAAAAAGAAATTCCATAATGATTTCTTGGGGATGCCTGGTAGTCACTCTAAATTCCAATCAGTCACCCTGGTATTTAATCAGCCAAACTAACAAGCCCTGAAGAGTGAGGGAGAGAGAGAGAGGGAACAAAGATTTGATGTGTGCGGTTGATTTTCCCAATGGCCTTATTTGGACATGGGCATTCTATATATTCCTATGGGTTTTGTTTTTAATAATGTACATAAGCCCCACTATCCATCGTCTGTTTGGATCCTGGAATTCACCTGCTCAAGTCTAGCCAAGCCCATACGAAGTCCAATGTCACCCTCTGTTGGTGGTAACAAGAGTTGATCAGCTTGGCTGGGCCACTTCATTTTTTTTCATTTCTAGGAACATTCATGAGCTAAATGGCCGGGCGCCATGGCTCTCGCCTGTCATCCCAGCACTCTGGGAGGCCGAGGCAGGAGGATCACTCAAGGTCAGGAATTTGAAACCAGCCTGAGCAGGAGCGAGCACCCAATCTCTACTAAAAAATTGAAAGAAAGTAATTGGCCAACTAAAAATATATAGAAAAAATTAGCCAGCATGGTGGCAAGATGCTTATACCTAGCTACTCGGGAGGCTGAGCAGCGGGATCGCTTGAGCCCAGGAGTCTGAGGTTGCTGTGAGCTAGGCTGATGCCAAGGGCACTCACTCTAGCCCGGGCAACAGAGTGAGACTCTGTCTCAAAAAACAAAAACAAAAACGGTGCTTCTGGCTGGAGCGGACACACTATCCGGCAGGGCCTGCACATGGGAGCCTGAGGTAGCAGCTCCCAGACCCCCAGTCTCCTCTTTCCAGGGTTGACAGCACTCGAAGGTCACTCATTGGCTTTCGTTCCTCTGGCGTTTCCAGCTCCCGCCTCCCGCGTCACGCTGGTGCCCCCCCCCAGCCCACTGATCCCAGCCAGCATCCACGGCCCCTTCGGGAAAGACCCAGCCCGGCCTCCAGGGACTGTGAACTGAAGCAGCAGTAGCGAGATGAACTTGTGCAGGGGGACGCTTGGCGTGTTCTCCCTGGGAACCCCGGAGCCACCGTGGGGGAAGCCCCCTCCCATCCGGGACACCACTGGTGACAGTCACTCTGGCTGCCTGGGACGCAGGGTCCCGCCTGGTTCCCAGGCATCCCGTTGTCACGGTCGCAGCCAGGCCCTGGCACCAAGATGTTCTCAGACGTCCCAGGAGACTGTGACGTGCAGACAGGGCAGGGAGGCGCCACCTTGCACCGGGGCACAGGTGGTGGGTCGGGCGGTGCTGGGGGGCAGGGCAGACCCCATCACTGGTGCATCCGTGACCTCAGCGAGGCCATGACCTTGGGGTGGGAGGAAGGCAGGGACGCCCAGTTCGGCATCATCCTGCAAGAGGGAGGGAGGGACACTCAGAGGTCAAGGACGAAGTGGGCAGCTGGGACCCGGCGTCCCCAGGGCTCCGCCGGTCACTGATGGGAGCTTCGTGGGGGCTGCGGTCTCCTGGAGACTCAGTTTCCCCTGCTGTAAAGAGAATGCCGGTCCTGGGCGCATCTCTTCCCGATGAGCCTCGACCCAGCAGCTACCGTGTTTCCCTGAAAATGAGACTGGGTCTTATATTGATTTTTTCCCCAAGAAGACACCCTAGGGCTTATTTTCAGGGGATGTGTCATTTTCCCCTCAAAGCCTCAGCTTGCAGCACACACAGAACGGCCAGGACCTGACAAGGGGAGCCGACCTTGTTGGTGGGGCTGCCCGCACCTTTCCGGTCACCTCTGGGACAGCAGCTGTCACGACGACGGGGCAGACGAGAAGGGCTGCTCGTCTTCTTTCCCGCTCAGCGACGACATGCATGGGTTGTGCAGACGAGCTGCGTAGCCACACCCGTCGCTAGGGCTTATTTTCGGGGCAGGGCTTCTATTGCGAACATGCTTAGAAATCCTGCTGGGGCTCGTTTTATGCGTAGGTCTTATTTTCGGGAAAACACAGTAGATCTGCAAACGGTTTCATCCATCTGGCGTGTGGTGCTGTGGCCGCAGAGACGCGGTGCATGACTCACTCCAAGGACACAGGAGTGGCCACTCCTGGCCCTGTTCTCTCCCACACCGCCAGGGACAAGCTCAACCTCCAGCCGCCAGCAGGAACGGGACCCCTCACGCCAGGAGCTGGGCGGAGAGATGCAGCCACTGCACCGGCCGACCCTGTCTGGTGGTTCACCTTTGACGGCAGAAATAAGTTAAACTCTTCCTCATCTCAGATAATCGACTCGGGTCCCGTCTGCGGCTCGGGCCGGCTGCTGGGGGAATCTCGGTCACGTGAGACTGCCTCGCTGAGCCAGCTCCGAGTTTTCCCGTGTCTGCGCCCCCAGCCCCCCAAGCCACGGGGGGGCTCTTCCGTTTTGCTTGGTGTCTGCAGAGACTCGGAGAGGCAGCAACAAGAACAATCGGTGCACGGGCTGCAGAGCCATCCCGACTTTTTGCTGAAAGGTTGGACGTGGTTTCAGGCAAGATTTTTATCACACGAGAGGGAACAGAAGTCTCGGATGTGTTACCGTCTTCCAAGGTTGTGTCCGATGTTTTCCCCTTGTCGCTGCAAAACAAAAGCAGAGATGACAAGGAAAAGATCGAGAGTGAAGCCGCGTCTCCAGGGCCTGCTTTGTTGGTGGCAGCGGAGGACAAACAAATAAATTGGTTTGGTTTTGTCAGGAAATGGAGTTCCACCTCTTCGACACTATTTTTTTTTTTTTTTTTTTCTTTTTTTTTTTTTTGAAGAGCAAGATCTCCAACTTGTTGCCCTCGGGCCAGAGTGCTGTGGGCGTCAGCCTAGCTCCACAGCCAACCTCACACATCCTGGGCTCAAGCAATCCTCCTGCTCGCCTCCTGAGTGTAGCGGGACTACAGCATGCCACGCACCATCCCGGCTAATTTTTTTTTTTTTAGTTGGTTTGGTATTCTTTCTTTTTTTTTATTGTTGAGACAAGAGTCTCACTCTGTCAACCAGAACCCTGTTGGAGGTAACAAAAATAATATAGAATAAATAAATAAGATAAATAAAAAAGAAAAGAGTCTCCACTGTCTGTTTGCCCGGGCCAGAGATGCGTGCCGTGGCGTCAGCCTAGCTCGACAGCAACTCAAACTCCTGGCTCAAGCCATCTCTGCCTCGGTCCGAGTAGCTGGAACTACAGGCACGTGCCACCATGCCCGGCCTAATTTTTCTATATATTTTTAGTTGTCCAGTTCATTTTCTCATATTATAGTAGAGATGGGCGTCTCGCTCTGAGCTCGGGCTCGGTCTCAATCGGAGCTCAAAAGATCCTCCCGTCTCGCCTCCCGGAGTGCTATGATGACAGCTGACCCACGCCGGCTGCATCGTATATGTTAGAGAGACAATAATGTGATATAGATCGGGCCCTTGGCCTTGAAAAGGAACTCGTAGAGTGCTTGGTGCTAAACGTGGGTGCGTTGTATCCGCCTTGGGAGACCCAACCCTTGACAGTCGCTGGAGCTCACCGAGATCTTGAATTCATCGAAATAATCGGAAGCGAACTTGTTTCCCAAGCACTTCAGTGTGCTTCTGCTGGTGAGCCAAGCGCAGGCGAGCTGAGGAGGAAACGGGTTGCCGGGAGCTCTGGTCAGCGGGTTTGCGGAACCGGACCCTGTGTGTGTTGAATCCCGAGTGATTGGAACATCAAAATTCCCCGTGTTGAATTAGACATGCGTGTCTCCCTGCGTGGATTCTAAGACTCTGCCCAGCATCTAACCCCTTCTAATGGCAACCAACAGTGCCATTTACACTCGCAGACTCCGCTGTGAAAGGCAACATACGGATGCAGTCACATACGTGCTCTCATTAAAACCCGTCACTACACGGGCCGAGGTAGCTCACGCCTGTCATCCCGGCACTCCGGGAGGCCGAGGCTGGTGGATCGCTCAAGGTCAGGAGTTCGAAACCAGCCTAAGCAAGAGCGAGACCCTGTCTCTATTATAAATAGAAAGAAATTAGCTAGACAACTAAAAATATATAGAAAAAATTAGCCGGGCGTGGTGGCGCATGCCTGTAGTCGCAGCTACTCGGGAGGCTGAGGCAGGAGGATCGCTTGAGCCCAGGAGTTGGAGGTTGCTGTGGGCTAGGCTGACGCCACGGCACTCACTCTAGCCTGGGCAACAGAGTGAGACTCTGTCTCAAAAAATAAAAAAAAAAAAAGAGAGAGACATTAAAAATATATTGACCAATAAATGAGCATATAAGTCTGAATTATATTTCTAAAAATAAAAAATAAAATAAAAAAGAAAGGGATTATGGGGAGGAGTTTTGTTTGCACAGGTCCTCGGGGAGCTACCCAGGTTGGGGGTGGGGAGTGGAAAAGCTGGGACCTAAGTCAGTCCGGCGTCTTGCTGAGCTCTATCCCAAGGCCGTGGGAGAGCAGAGGGACGGGCACGCGTGTGCTGGCGTGTGCTGGCGTGTGCTGGCATGTGCTGGCGTGTGCTGGCATGTGCTGGCGTGTGCTGGCATGTGCTGGCATGTGCTGGCGTGGCAGGAAGGGAGGCCAGTGAGCAGCCGCCGCCGCAGTCCCCACTCAGCCCATCACGGAGGCCTGCGCTTTGTCTTTCAGGAATTCGCCGACTCCGTGTCCCAGCTGGTCATGCAGAAGTTCCGGGAGGTGACGGCCGCCCTGCCATCCGTGCACGCCCGCCACAAAGCGCTGGCCGGCATCGTCATGACCAGAGGTAACGCCAGCCTCTTGCATTTCCCGTGGGGGGGTTCCGTGTCCCGGGAGAGGAACACCAGTGTCCGCCTGGCCCTGGGAGCCCAAGGACTCTCGCTACCCCTCGAAGGAAAACAAAACAGAAAACAGAGAGGTCAGGGGTCACAGGTCGTGACCTGGAACCCCACCCTGAGCATGGGGGGTAACCAGGCTGCCGGGGCGTGCAGAGCAGGATTCCCGGCTCCGTGGGGACAGCGGTAGGGACTGGAAGGCCACCCCAGGGACCCTGGTGGGGGCTGGGGAGTCCTGAGTCCCCTCGCTGGGGGGTGGGGAGTCCTGAGTCCCCTCGCTGGGGAAAAGAGATGACTCAGGAACTTCCACCCCCAGCGAGGGACTCAGGACTCCCCACCCCCCAGCGAGGGGACCCAGGACTCCCCACCGCCAGCGAGGGGACCCAGGATCACCACCCCCCAGCGAGGACCCAGGAACTCCCACCCCCAGCGAGGGGACTCAGGACTCCCCACCCCAGCGAGGGACCCAGGACTCCCCACCCCCCAGCGAGGGGACTCAGGACTCCCCACCCCCAGCGAGGGGACCCAGGACTCCCCAACCCCCAGCGAGGGGACTCAGGACTCCCCACCCCCCAGCGAGGGGACTCAGGACTCCCCACCAGCGAGGGACTCAGGACTCCCCACCCCCCAGCGAGGGGACTCAGGACTCCCCACCCCCCAGCGAGGGGACTCAGGACTCCCCACCCCCCAGCGAGGGGACTCAGGACTCCCACCCCCAAGCGAGGGGACTCAGGACTCCCCACCCAGCGAGGGACTCCAGGATCCCCACCCCAGCAGGACTCAGGATCCCCACCCCCAGCGAGGGACTCGGACTCCCACCGCCACAGGCGAGGGGACTCAGGACTCCCACCCCCAGGGAGGGGGCTCAGGATCCCCAACTCCCCGCGAGGGGACGCCAGGACTCCCACCGCCCGCGAGGGGACTCAGGCTCCACCCCCCAGCGAGGGGCCTCAGGGACTCCCACCCCCCGCGAGGGGATCCAGATCCCACCCGCAGCGAGGGGACTCAGGACTCCCAATCCACGAAGGACTCAGGACCATCCAGCGAGGGACCCAGGACTCACCCACCCCAGCGAGGGGCTCAGGACTCCAGCGAGGGACCTCAGACTCCCACCTAAAACCCACCACCAGCCGAGGGGACTTCAGGACTCCCCCACCCCCCAGCGAGGGGACGTCAGGACTCCCACCCCCACGAGGGGACTCAGGACTCCCCCCCCCAGCGAGGGACTCCGGATCCCCAAT